CTCTGGGCGAGTGGGTTCACCCTGCCCGTCGTACCCTGACGACTCAGAAACTACCACAGGAGTGGTAGTTTTGCGACGGCGTTTACTGCGTGGAGCACCCTCGCATTTCATTCTTCCGGCATGCGTTCTCAGACCATGCAACCCCGTGAAGCTTTTCCCACATGTACAGAGCCAGCCCGGACGTTGGGCGAGTATCTCAGTCCGGGGGCTAGCAAGGTCGTCACCGAGGGTATCAATTGAATTGGGCCCTTCATTCTCCCCCCTTTCGGAGGGCCCTGGGGGCATATTTCTTTGTGGTTGTTCGAAATCGGAGGTATTATACTGTGTTAGGGGTGATCAACCCGGTCCACAGTCGACATCTGTCTCCAGATGTCAGTTTATCCCCCCGGCGATACCGGGGGGCCAGTCTTTCCATAGGTGTCAAAAGGTCTTTCCCGATAGTCACCAGTCTTTCCTGGTAGTCTTGTGGGCTAGCCACGTACAATATGAATAAACTCACAGGGAGCAAGTACAGCGGGAATCTACCAGTCATCAGTAGAAATTATCCTCGTCGACACACGTTTCGGCCCACGATTCCTAGACGCATTCGGAGGTGGGCCCTCCTGAGTTCATGACGCTCAGGGCTGGTTTCCCGCTGCACGGAATTACCGGATGGTGTTATACTTTCGGCCAGAGACAAGACGACTTGGTGGTTTCGAAGGAGGTACTGTGAGATAAGAAGCCGCCACGGCAGCTTAATTAGAACAGTCAGCGTGCCTGGACGACCGAGCGACAAGCTTACTTTGGTTTACCGGACACATGTTGGACTTTTATTAGCAGTTGGCAGAGGTACACTGGCAGACTATTCGGACACGATGGACTTTCAAAGGGATGAGAAACTCTTATCCACTGTAATAAACCTTGGCTTGACTTGGATTGCACTTTGGCTTACTACCTATTGGCTTTCGCCACGGCTCACTCTCTGGATGTTTACTGCTACCAAACTTGCACTGCTTTAACTTCTAGGCTTGACAACACAAACGCCTCTCAGCTTCTTGGTACATACTGTCAGTTTATTCATTCATTTATGTTCCTCAAGTTCCCACAATTATATCTACTTCTCTCGCTCACGACATACTCAATTACTCGTCATCCGCACGACATTGGAACTGCATCTCTGTTTCTATAACCGTCTACTCTGACTTCTGATGATCAACTGACCACGAGGCTAGCTCGGGCTTTCCCTCGCTTCCTCGACTAGGCACAAGTATCTCGTGCTGTCCCTTGTTGCACGGACTTTCTGCTTGCCACTATGTAATCGTGAGGACCATGCAAAGCAGGGTCATTACACTGACAACTAACAAATAATTGCTTTACTAACAGAATCATTAGCAAAGTCGAAGACGAAGCTGGCTGTTGCCGTCATCAGTCACTGCAAAACAAAAAGTCTGAGAGAGGAGTACATCAAGGAGCTTCAACAGTACATGGCGGTGGATGTGTATGGGATTTGTGGGACCAAGATTACATGTCGGAAGAGAAACAACACTTGTCTCAGTGAACTTGTTCAGCCCTATACGTAAGTAGTGTGATATAAATGTAATGTGAGATATATGTCAGTATGCTGTGTATGGTATGAGCATAACAGCTCAAAGCAGAGGAGCGGCTAGCCGAACGATTAAAAACGCATGGCTCTCATGCGGGACGCGCGGATTCGAATCCTCGGTAAGGTTGAAAGGTAAAAAGAGACTACAGTGGTACACTGAAAGTGAAAACATCATTACACCACAGCAGGCGGGCTTTAGAAAGTTCTACTCTACGGAAGACCAGACAACATACTTCTCCCAATAAATAGAGGATTCTTTTCAAGATAAGAAACTGGTATTCGCGGCATGGATAGATTTAAGGAAAGCTTTTGATAAGGTTTGGAAGGAGGGGCTTTCGAAGAAATTGACAAACTGTAAAATAAATAGAAAAATGTACAATTGGATTAAAGCATATCTACATAACATAAGAGCCCGGGTACAGGTAGATGGTTTTAAAATAAAAAAGTTCTACTGCGTCCAGGCGTCCCTCAAGGTGGTGTCCTGTCGCCCACACTTTTCCTCTTATTCATCAACGACCTGGTTGCTGTAATACCAAATGGAATCAAAATGCAATGTATGCCGACGACCTGGTATTGTAGTGCACCAATGAACATGCAACAATAGCCACAAAAATACTACAGCGGGCTACAAATGCACTTGAGGCATGGGCCAATAGATGGTGTGTCAGCATCAACACAGACAAATGTAGCACCACACTATTCACCCTCTCCCCAAACCAAAAGCCGGCACCATCAAAATAAACGGAATACCCCTGAGAGATGATAAAGAGCCCACATACCTAGGTGTCACATTTGATGACAGGTTGACATGGAGAAAACATATCAACAAGGCAGCAACCAAAGCCAGGAGGAAGACAGCAATACTAAAAAAACTAAGTGGAACCACATGGGGAGCCGATGGGAAAATACTCAATAAAGTATACAAGCAGAGCATACTTCCACACTTTGAATATGGGTCAACTGCATGGTATTCAGCATCTAGTACCACATTAAAGAAGTTAGACAAAGAGTCATCACAGGAGGGATGAAATTAACCCCCATATTAGAAATGGAGAAAGCTGGGAAAACACAGGCACTGAGAGAACGCAGAGATACAAAGTTGCAAATACAAGCTGAAAAGTTTCTCAGTATGCCAGATCACCCGATGGAAAATAGATTTAAGAACCTAGCCTTGGGACGGTTAAAAAGAAGCAGCTTTATACACTAAGCAAAAAGAATATGTAGGCAAACTCCTGACCTTCCAGAAATTGGTTGCCCACTTAAAAGTATTCCGGAACAAACCCCATTGAGAGAAAAATGTAAACTAACGGTACAAATCCAGACAAATGTGAAAGGGATATTTGACAAGAAAGAGCAAGATAGTGTACAACGCAGAACGGCCACCCTCAGTTATATTGATGAAGAATACCCACAAGAACAATGGGTCAGAGTCTATACAGATGGGTCCGCAGAAAGTGTAGTTAGAAATGTTGGCGCTGGAGTGTACATCGAATTCCCAGATGGTACTAGGGAAGTACTGCCATAACTACGATGCAGAAACCCAGGCTATCAAGATAGCTACAGAGAAACTGCTAAATACCAACCTTGGCTCACAGTATGTGGTAATGCTGACAGATGCTAAATCAGTACTTGAAGCACTCCAGTCTAGGAAACTACCAGAATTGCAAACACTGCTGACCCAACTCAGCGTTCAGCGAAGAGTCGTAATGCAGTGGATACCGTCTCACTGTGGAGTGTCTGGAAATGAGAAAGTTGATCAACTGGCAGGGAAAGAGCAGCCGGATGTACCAGTCACATACCGAAAGAGAAGAATCATTAAATCGATGAGGAAACCACCAGCCCCAGCACAAGACGACTATTTTATTATGGACAGACCAGAACAAGTCAATATTCTCCGCCTCAGAACAGGGCACAACCGATTAAATAACCACATGTACACAAAATTCAAGATAGGTGTATCAGCCATGTGCACCTGTGGAAATGTGCACCAGACAGCAGAGCATGTACTCCAGGATTGCACCGATTTTGACACATTAAGGCAAACCTTTTGGCCAGAAAGAACAACAGTGGAGCGTAAACTCTATGGACAGCTGAATGAACTAACAACGACAGTGAAATTTATACAAGAGACAAAACTGCTGATATAGACAACTTATTTCAGGCGAACGAAAGAAGAAGAAGAAGAAGGTAAAAATAAAATCCTAACTTAAACAGTCCTTGGCGACTGCACTACCCATACGTTCGATAATTGCTCAGACTCAAAGACTCTATCCTACACCACATAGTGCTAAATGATTACGGCAATGGCAGTTTCAGGGCGCAACCATGGAAGCACACACACACATACACACACACACACACACACACACATATTAGGGATTGATCCATTTAAAATTTTTTTCTCCGGGATGGCCCTCTAGGGGCTTAAGCCAGGCTTATTTTGCGCGATTATCATTATTATTATTATTATTATTATTATTATTATTATCATTATTATTATTATTATGTTCGCCTTAGCCAATGAAAAAAAAAATATTTCACATTACCCCAGGGATTGTCAGAAATAGGTGCGTATTTCATGTCATGTTTATTTCACCGGTGATATAACAATACAGTAAAGTAAATAAATGCTTTTGGGAGATAATGAGAGTGTGTGTAGAATACAGAGGAAAAAAGAGAGGGAGAAGGGGGGGGGGGGGGAAGAGAGAGAGAGAGTAAAGCGAAGTATCAGGGAGAAGTAGAGAAACGGTTAGAATATCCAGGTTGGTTGTCTTTAAGAAGACAGAGCAGACAAAAAGCTTTCGCATCCTGAAAGGATTACTAATGGCAAATGATACACATGTGATAAAGAAAAAGTCAAATGACGTTAGTAAATACACTACTATTTGAGGCCTGCGATATTCATTGTATCTCATCATATTTAATCATTATTCTTCTTCTTTTTTGCGTTCACCGGCTGTAAACTCCAGTGGAAAGTTCTGGTTGTTCGTCTACTACTGGACTCTAGTCCTGTTCCGGAAACTTAGTTTTGCATGCACATCCGTTTTACAGGTGTGACTCATTTGCATGCAGAATGTTTATTCCTTGCATCTCAAGCAGATGCACTCTGACTTCAAAGGAAGCTCCAAATTAGTCGACTTTTACGACATGCTTCAGGGCACGCAGTGGATCTGTTCTTGTTTTCTTCCACAATGGGTCCCCGTAGCCCACACGAGCATATTCAATCATTATATTTCACAGGATGTTCAATACTTAATCAGATGTCTTTACTCATACACCCTCATACATCATAACAGGTTTTTACTGGCATTCGAAAACTCTTTCTGCCAAGACTATGTGACGGAGAAGTTTTTTCGAACCTTCATGGACGATTTCCCTGTGATACCAGTAGTTCGAGGAGGGACAGACTATCAGCGATATTTCCCACAAGGAACGTTTGTCGACACTTTAGATTTCAGAAATCCGAAAGAACTGGCAGCATATTTAAAAAAAATTAGCAAGGATCACAGGAAAGTGGCTACTATGTTGGAAGCCAAGTCAAGGTAACTTTGCGTTTCCAAGAGTTTTCATCTGTGCATTTCTTTTGTTTTTGATGATTATCCTTGCATTTAGAAAGGGAATATTTTTTATTTTATGCCCAAAGGAAGCTTTTAAAATGGATCACAGATGGGAAGTAATACGCAAAGAGAATAGTAAACCCTTATGGCAGAGCCTGCAAAGCTTTTCATGCCGCTGATACTCTTCGAACGAAAGTAATTAACGAAACAATAATTCAGTCTTTTAGCAAACCAGCAGCTAAAAAACAAAAGACTCTAATAAGAGATCCGGATACATGGGTATCTTTATGTTCGCGTGCCACACCTTCGTTTTGCAAGAGGCATTCGAATGTGTCGTGACACATAGTTTGGAAATCTCTAGTAAAAAAGTAGAGTTGCAATTATCGAGTTATATTACCACTAAAGGAGCAAATGTCAAACTGTTTATCTCCAGATTAGGTTATTATGTGGATCTTCCTTTTTTGACCTCATATGCGCGTCAGGCGTATGCTGATATGGAAGGGGCGTGGACGGGTGGGGATGGCGAAGGGCCCCCTGCCTCGAAGGGGCCCACTTCAAGCTACTAGAGCCACAACCTCTGAATCTTCTACAGTGACCAGGGAAGAACAGAGTAAAACTGTGGATCAGGCCCAAGGGAGCCACATTGTAAGAGAAGCTACGGGGGACCGGTGGCGACCTTAAACACGCAATCCTATTTGTGACCCAGACGGGACTCAATGTTTAGCATGACTGATGTCGAACGCAGAAGAAAAATGATATGCAACACGCTTTTAGTCAAAACGGCACTAGAATGCAGAAACACATCAGACAGCAGAACGCGTACTCAAGAACTGCACCGAATATAACATATTGAGGCAAACTTTTTTTTGGTCAGAAAGAGCAACAGTGAAAGGTGGACTCTAAATATCACTGATTTAACTAAATTCGACAGTGACATTTAAACGATTTTTACGAACTGCTGATATTGAAACGTATTTTTTAGGCGAACGAAAAAAGAGAAAGAAGACGAAGAAGAATGCTAGTTTGACTTAGAAATCAAAGTAATTAAGTTTTTTTTTAAAATCTCCCCAAGCGGATTCAAACCCAACACTTTAGGATTGGCAGACTATCGTCTAGCCGTTGCGATTCCACGGTCCTTATTATTTCTCTCATCTAGGAATTGAACCCATCCCAAACTATGTGTGAAGCAAATAAACTAAATCTTCGACCCCAAATTACATTACTTTTGATTACAATAATTAATGTTTAAAAGGGGGTCTATCCGCTACGCCACGGCGAATCCCCGTATAGGTATGAGGGCCCTAATAATAGAGAAACAGAACGTTCATGTCATAATTACAAAATCAGACAAAATAAAGAAATGACTTTGCCTTCATCAATAAAACACACATGGTAAACAAAACGCAGCACGCACAATTTAACCGACTCTGAGGTGACTACATTACAGTAATAAAATAGTATGTAAACCAATAAAATAAAATATTAATAAAGGATTGAATTATATAGGGTACCAGATACTTACACGAATGGCTCACATTTTATGATTAAATTCTCTTTTTTGGTTCCTGTGGCCCATTTGGGGGGGGGGGGGGGGGTGGCGGGGGGGGGGGGGGGCAAAGGGGGAAGAATAGATCTACCGTATGTTGTAAAAGGCGTTAATAATTAATGTTGATCCGAAGTGAGAGCGTATCTGCTTGTAAGGCGGCGAACCAACAGTCTGTTGATTCACAGCCACAACTTTTTTCCAGAGGTAAACGCTAAGAAAAAAGATATGAAACTATTCTGCTTGTAGCGAACAGGAATTTACGTGGATGACAGGAAAAAAATTACAATGTATCTTTAAAATGGTGTAAATTGACATATGCCATTTTCTGAGGGTCATTTTATGGGTTTAATGTCAAATGTTGAATAAGGAATCGACATCACAGCACTCGGGACACACCCATAAGCGCCCCTTTTCCATCTTCAGTGTAACCTAAATTCCCTCGTACCATTGAGATTACAAAACTTTAGTGTGATGTGTAACGGGTCGTGGGTTCCCTGGATTTGGGTTTAACTGAATTTTATTGAATTTTACTTTTCTTCTCAACACATTCCCTCCACCAGGTTAACTGAACTAATATCCGGGCTATGTTGCTCTCAGACAAAGTGCTGGATATCCAAGAAAACAGCTATATTGGCTCGTTAATTATTTTAACATTAGCTGCACTTGGTACCCACCTGAGAAGGAAAAGGGTTTTAGATGTCTATATTATTATATTGAATGACTTACTAGACAGGGCAGTTGACCCTTTCCGTCGATCATCCCTTGGTAAAGAATTATTATTATTATTTAATGAGCTCCCACCAAATGCTATTCTATCTTAACAGTGTAATTGAACATGTAAGAACAGACACACTTGGAATTATAAAAAACTGATGCAGGATAAGACCATATACTTGATTTATTAACCTAGCAATCATTTTGGTTATTTATATTTTTAGTTAACAGTGATGGTATGGTGGTAATGGGATGCTTCAGCTAATTGAGCACCTAAGATTAGAGTAAAGTGATAATAGTGGTGTTTAGCTACATAAATACATGATACGTAACTTAAGTTGGTTTAGAAAGTGGAACAGCTGAGAGTCCTCGTGTTAAGTCCCTTTTTAGCTGTTCCAACTTTTCCGTCCAGTTCTCCAGGTTCCACCTGGTTCTTCCACCTGGTTCCCACCTGTTTCCTAGCTGGCCGAGTTCTAACACAATGTAGTCTCGGGCCCATGATGACCCTCTATTTATGTTCTTAGAAAAGACTGATCGTCACATGGAAGCTGGGAACTTTCCAGCAATCGCCAAACCAGAATCTAACAATACGAATTACCTCTTCTGTCGTTCTGAGTTTGTTGCCGGCTGGCTGCGATGTGAATAAAGTAAACTCCAGATGATAGAAGTATAGCCTATATCTGTCTGCAAGGTTAAACACCTCCCTTTACTAAGTTCTACCCAACCCTCCAGGAGATGATCTAAGCCACGCCCCTGAGGTACCTTGCAGATCAACATATCTATCAATGGGCCTGTCACTCAAAGTGAACGGCCTTCAGTAAGACCAATCCTTCTTAATTGGCAAACATCTGGTCTCCAGCTAAATTAACTGGCAGGTGTAAAAACTGTCGAGAGGACGCCGTCAGGTCTACCAGTCCACTTAATTCCCCTGATCTGCTCTGTTCAAAAGGCCCCACTCAGTCTGTGTTATGTAACATTTATGACACTAAGGTCGGGTTCATGGGAGATAATCTGAGGTGTGATAATTAGTTATTTCCCCATTTACTCGCCTCTACAGTCTGTGGGCAGGAGATAATTATATGGCACTGGCTGGTGAAATGAATCTCTAGCTAAGGTAGTATTAAGTAATATTACACAAAGCGGGGTTGCTTTGTCTGGCGAGAGACAAGGAAACAAAGTTTAAACAATTTTCAAATCCCTTGTAGTGGTTTTAGAACTATTTTAGGCTCAGTGCATATTGCTTATAATTCTTTGTCCTTCTCTGAACATAAGAAATTATTAAACACAATATAACTTCTGAGACCACTGAGGTCATTTCGTCACATTCAGCAATAAGCGAAGAAATAAAATTCCGATGGCGTATGTATGTACTTTAATGATATTTACTTGAATTCTTTTTCTTCTTTCTTCTTGTTTCTACTCCTGGAATGCCTTGTGGTGTCATGGCAAGAAGACATTTCTGGAACAGGCCCTTCTGTTCTTACTTGAATTACCACTAATTATTTCAAGTAGCAGGATTGCCAGGGAAGGGGAGGCATATATAAGTTTAGATGTGAGTACACATTTAGTTGATCAACCTCACTACCTTCTCAATGTTTGTTAGTCATAGTTTCTCCTGACTCCCTGCTCTCAAGTAGTGTTTTCCATCATGAAGAAGGCACATCGAGTTAGCAAACTATACAGCTCTAATGTATACTGTGACTTCTTATTTTCTTGATCTGATTTCTTATTTCCTTGATCACTAGACGTCTACAAAATCAGGGGATATCACGAAAAGAATAATAAACAGAGCCATAACTCTCATATCAGCATCTAGTTCTATTAAAATAATCACAGTTAATTTACTTGTTAAAAAACATACTTGTATAGTTAGCTTAACCACCATTCTGCCACTGTTACTGATACTTGCTACTTCTACAACTACCAATGCCGCCACTACTAACACTACTACCACCGCCACCACGACAGCCAGTACTATTGCTGCTGCTGCTTCTGCTACTACTCAAACCTATATTGCATCGTCATCGCAAGTGTCCAAAACTTGGTTGACCGCTGACTTTATTTGCTCATAACCTGAACTCGTTACCATGGCTCCAGTTCACATAATTTCTGTGTAAAACGTGATGCTCGCATGTTTTGTGATTTGCTGTCAGTTTCGTATCTACTCTACCTTTATTCTTACAAGCATCATAACAACAATCTCAAGTGTTATTGCATTTTTTAAATGAGTTCTTGCTCTGTTATTTGCAGATACCAGTTTGTAGCAATACATCGCCACTGCCAGATGTGTTACCTCTTGCACAAGTACAACATCACTAGCTCAGGCATTGATCCCAGCGTGCCTACCCTCGACAGAACAGCTCTGACAAAGACGTACACTGACGTCTTTCGCTGGCTGTCACAAGACAAATGTTATCCTCCACGCGATTTCACAGGAGCCCTAGAGAAATGATAGCGAAATTGCATTTATTATTGTTGTTATTATTGTTACATTTAAGTTTGCATGTTTATTGCGCTTAGGGTAATTCTGTGTTGGTTTACTAAATTGAGCCATTTTGTTGTTAAATGTCTATTAATTACTGAATTTTATTTATGGTATAATTGTTGTTTCTTTATCCTGCCAATACTATGATACTTTGGGCAATTATAAAGTTAAAATCGTTTGTATTTACAAACCGATGGGGACAAGCTATAAAAATATATTGTGTGATGCAGATTTCATTATTTACTATTATTTTTTTAATGCTGGTTTGTTTCCTATACAAATAGCATAACATATTTTACTGCTAACAAACCCAAGTCCAGATACACAGTGCTAACGTTTAAGAAATTAAATAGAAATTATAAACACACTAGTTGTTTTATATTATATTATATTATATTATATTATATTATATTATATTATATTATATTATATGATATTATATTATATTATATTATATTATATTATATTATATTATATTATATTATATTATAATTATATTATATTATATTATATTATATTATATTATATTATATTATATTATATTATATTATATTATTATATTATATTATATTATATTATCAAACTTGGCAATACATTAGAAGCAAAAAGAAACAGCAACATTAGTTGAACTGAAAAAAAAAAAAACACAATTGTCTTAACTCTCCATAATAAGTCACATTTCTGGAGATATTTCATTTGCAAGAAATCTTGATGACTCACATGAGCGACTAGCTAGAACCAATGGGGAGATCACTCAAAATATTTCAACACTCAACCGGAACAAGGGCCATATAATAACCCAAGGAGCCGCCCCAGTGCTGTGGCTAATGCAGTGCTCTCCAAACTTTTTTTTTTTTTTTTTTTTTTTTGTGACAACCACTTCCCTGAATATAGGACAAGATCCCCCTCGCCTTCTGTGCTCGGCATAACAAAATGTGATTGAAAAGAGGAGAGGACAACAAGAGAAATCACAAGTACTGTTAGCAAGAACTTGGAGAAAAATACGCTCATAACTTATCGTGTCAAATAACAATTGAAACAGTGACCAACAACTGGTAATTTAGTCTCTAAAAATCAATGTAATGGTTTACTCTGTATTTCTTGATGATATATGTTACTGTAGGTCTGATGTAGGACAAGGCTCAGCGGAAATCACTCTCCACATCAAGCTAACACCGATTTTTGTTTTCAAGAATGTTATAGCTAAGAATCTGGATTATTACAAGTACAAATGCACTCAATAACAAAACGGGTTGACGCCCCTTTGAAGCTTCCTCATACCCACTGGGGAGGGCCCCCCCCCCCCCCCCCCAAGTTGAAGAACACCGGAGTAGACACTCGCCTGCGAAACCCAGAGGTACCAGGTCTGAATCAACATAGGGCGGATTTTTAAAAAAAATGAGCTGGTTCCCAGGTCTACCTAGCCTAAAATGAGTACCGGAAGATTTAATGGGTGGTAAAGGTGGTCGGCGTGATTTTGACACCATCAGCCATCAAGTGTCGATTCGTTTATACAATAAAAACAAAGAAGGGAGGCTAGAAACATCTGCCCAAGGCACCAATGGCGTTAAAAGGGTTCCTTACATCATCTTCTTTTGCGTTCGCTCTTAAAAAGGCCACATTTGATGTGGTTTACAGCTAGGGTGTGATATCTGCGCTTTTCAGCCCAATATATGCGATTATTATCAAATCTCTAATGATACTATTTTACGTAATGCTTTTCAAGGGCCGACCTTAATCACACCCCCCCCCCCCCCCTTTCCCCTTTTTTTTCTTTGTGACCCGGTACCTACACGTGGATACTTTACATCATAACATACACAATTGCCTTTGAAATGTCTCTCCAGTAGAGAAGAAAAACACGATAAGGCGTTTGACTATCGTCTCATTTTAGATTGTAATCACCAAGAGCCTAGGTTGAATTTTAAACAAAATATCTGCCTCAGTGGGTATGTGAACACATTACCACTGGGCCTGCAGTCATACTGCGCTGCCCTGGCTCACGCTTATTGATTATCTTCTTCTTCTTCTTCTTCTTCTTCTTCTTCTTCTTCTTCTTCTTCTTCTTCTTCTTCTTCTTCTTCTTCTTCTTCTTCTTCTTCTTCTTCTTCTTCTTCTTCTTCTTTTTCTTCTTCTTCTTCTTCTTCTTCTTCTTCTTCTTCTTCTTCTTCTTCTTCTTCTTCTTCTTCTTCTTCTTCTTCTTCTTCTTCTTCTTTCTTTTTCTTCCTATTCTTTTTCTTCTTCCTGAGTTTCACTGGCTGTAAGTCCTGGCGGAATGTATTGGGTGTTCGTCTTACTCTAGACTTTTATCTTTTTCAATTTTGTCTAAATTGTCCGTTTCACAGGCCTGGCTTATCTATAAGCAGACTTTTGACTCCTTGCCTCTCTGGCAGAGCTACTCCGACTTCGAAGGAAACACCACCCCACCCCTCTCCAGTTAGTCGACTTCTACGACATGCTTGTTGGCGACGCGGTGAGACTGTTCTTATTTCCCTGCAATAGGGCCTCGGAACCAACGCGGGAAGATTATATTCTATATCCCACTGTGGGTTTCGGAGCAGAGTTTGGGGGAAAAAGTAGTAGACCCACTGCCTCGGAAACAAGCATGTCGTAGAAGTAGACTAACTGGGGGTGTTTCCTTTGAAGTCGAAATGCATCTGCCTGGGAGGCAAGGTACCAAGTCAACTTACACAAACGCCAGATTTGTAAAACGGATGTACACACATAAAACTAAAGTTCTGAACCAAGACTTAAGTCCAGAAGTGGACGAACAACCATGACTTTCTGTTGAAGTGTAGTACAGCTGGTAAAGAAGGGGGGAAAAAGAGTAGTATATTGTATGAAATAATGAAATATATCAGTTCTCATCACAACAAACGTTGGCTGCAAAGCAATTCCAAATCTCTCTATCTCTAGCCCAGGTTGTATGCCCTGAACGGCTATTTAATGCATGTGTCTTGTGTCGTCAAACCGATTCTGTTCTTGGTAAGATCACACAGAAATTCATATCTCTATAAGTATATTCGTGTTTAGTTCACCACTTGATATTACCTGCGCAAATGCATTCCTGTTTAGTTCCTTAATTGATGTTAACTCGACAAATATATTCGTGTTTTATTCACCAATTCATGTTAGCTCCTAATTTACTGTCTGTTTATCTTGTGATGAAAATTTCAAGTAGTATTCTTTGTTATCCCTCAGAATTATAACACAAAATGTACCTGTTGTTTTTATCTCTTGATGTTTTCGTCTAAGTTATAGTCAGACTCTTGATGGCATCTACCTTATTGTATTATTTTTTTTCGGTCATTACCTTGTCTCTCTAGAAGAGATGTTTTTTAAAGCAGATTTTCACGTCTTTTAATTCGTCTTGAATAATGTATTTCCCTCCTTTTTTTCTGTTAAAGTACTGAATTCTTCAATCAAATGTTCCTGATTGTGTCCAGGAGTATTACGATAAATATTTATTATAAACAGGTTTCTTCTTCTTCTTCTTCTGCGTTCGACATCAGTCATGCTAAAAATTGAGTCCCGTCTGGGTCACAAATAGGATTGTGCGTTTAAGGTCGCCACCGGTCCCCCATAGCTTATCTTTCAATGTGACTCCCTTGGGCCAGATCCACAGTCTTTGCTGGGAGAGGAAAGGGCAGTACTGTAGTATGTGCCTAGGGGTCTGTCTTTCTGCTCCACAATCACAGGCAGCAGATTCTTTTATGCCTATTCTGTACAGGTGTGCTCGAAGACCACAGTGTCCAGTCCGAAGTCTAAAAATTGTTGTTTGTTCTTTCCTGTTGAGTTTGTTTATTCTGTCACTCTCTTGTCTGTAATCCATTCGGCCTTCTCCACTCCCGCTTGAAAGACTGCTTTAACGCTGTTTTGGTTTCCTTGTAGCTGTGTGGTGGATGAGGTTGTTGAAGATTATTCCTAGCTTTTGCCAACTCATCTGCTCTCTCATTACCTTAAATACCACTGTGGGCTGGTATCCACTGCAAGACCAGTTCTGCTTCCTTGGAGAGTAAGCCAATGTTGGTCCTTAGATCTGCAATTAGTTTGTCTTGTTTTTTACTTGATAGTGCTTAGAGAACAGACAATGAGTCACTGAGTATAACAATTTTGTGCCCTCTGTGTTCTTGACTGATGAGATGTTGGACTGCAGAAAGGAGGGCAGTTGCCTCAGCTCTGAAGTTAGTGCAAATGTCACCTGCTGGTAGAGAGAGTTTTTGCTCTACTGCTAGGGGGTTTAATGTATATTCCACAACCACCCTTTCTGACTGCATCTGTAGCAAAGCCGTCGGTGAAAACCTGAGTCCAAGTGGTGTTTGGATACTTCTCATCAAGCATAGCAAGAGCTAGGGTTCTCTGTTGTGTCTTCGTCTGAGCATCTTTCCCTAGTACCTTTAGGACTACATTTGTCTTCTCTGGCTTGCTTGTCCATGGTTCTGGCCTAAGTTTTTCGCACAGTGCTATATTTCTTTCAAGCAGATCTCGATGCTGTCTGTACAGTTATCTAGCAAGGTGGTTGACGCTCTGACGTTTCAGTCTGTTTTTTGTTCTCTTGAAATTTTAAATGCAGTGGGTGACTTTCAAGTCTTTTTAATTTCTCATACTGTAAAAGAGTTTTGTATTGTCTTCTGAGTTCTAGTGGTTCAGTATCTGCTATCCTCTCTATCTCTCTGATGGGGTGGGTTTTCATGGCTCCGAGAACATTCCTTAATCCCATATTCTGAACCTTATCCAGTTTTCCCATTGTTGTCTTAGCTGCTGCAGCCCATGCAGTGGAGGCATATTCCATGACTGGCCTGACTGCTCCAGTATATACTTGTTTTAGGATTCTGGAGTTAGCGCCCTATGTGGTACCAGCTAATTTTTTCATAACTGCAAGCTACTTAAATGCTTTCCCCTGTACTGCTTCTACGTTATAAACAGGTAATTTTTATAACACATGTACTTTTGGCAGTAAACAAAGT